AATATTGATTTAAAGTATTCTTATTCTGCATAGTTCCAGATATAAAAATTAAAAATATTTTGCCTACTTTAAGTTTTTTAATAATTTACGTATCATTAATTCACACTGCTTTTCTCATCAACTTTGCCTGAAAAGTAATGTTTTACACCTTTCCATAAAGTTAAATTATACCAATTATCTAAATATTTTCAGGACTCTGTTTAAATTCAAAAAATAAAATGGGCCAGGCTCAGTGGCTCACATCTGTAATCCCGGCACTTTGGGAGGCCAAGGTGGGTAGATTACTTAAGGTCAGGTGTTCAAGACCAGCCTGGTCAACACGGTGAAACCCTGTCTCTACTAAAAATAAAATAGAATTAGTTAGGTGTGGTGGCACATGCCTGTAATCCCAGCTACTCGGGAGGCTGAGGCAGGAGAATCACTTGAACCTGGGAGGCGGACATTGCAGCATCGTGCCACTGCACTCCACTTGGGTGACAGAGTGAGGTTCTATCTCAAAAAAAAAAAAGCAATTTAATTTAATTTAGTTTTAAAAATAAAAAAATAAAAATAATGGATGGTGCCAAAGTGATTGTATGAGTGACAATAAAACCCGAAGGTATGAGGGACAATATATATATTCCTCTTTAAAGGAACCTTGGCCAGGCACGGTGGCTCACACCCGTAATCCCAGCACTTTGAGAGGCCGAGGTGGGAGGACTGCTTGAGCCCAGGAGTTCAAGACCAGCCTGGGCAACATAGTGAGATCCCATCTCTACAAAAATTAAAAAATTAGCTGGGTGTCGCAGTATGTGCATGTGGCCCAGCTACTTAGGGAGCTGAGGTGGAAGGATCACTTAAGCCCAGAAGATCAAGGCTGCAATGAGCCATGATCATGCCATTGCACTCCAGTCTGGACAACAGAGCGAGACCCTGTCTCAATTGAAAAAAAAAAAATTAGCCAGGCGTGGTGGTACACACTTGTGGTCCCAGCTACTCAGGAGCTTGAAGTGGGAGGATTACTTGAGCTGGGGAGGTTGAGGCTGCAGTGAGCTATGATCACGCCAACCTGGGTGACAGAGACCCTGTCTCTAAAAACATAAAATAAAATAAAGGAACCCTATACATAGGTATAGATAAGATTTTTTTTTTTTTTTTTTTGAGACAGAGTTTCGCTCTTGTTTGCCAGGCTGGAGTGCAATGGCAGGATCTTGGCTCACTGCAACTTCTGTCTCCCAGGTTCAAGCGACTCTCCTGCCCTAGCCTCCCGAGTAGCTGGAATTACAGGCACGCTCCACCACATCCAGCTAATTTTTTGTACTTTTAGTAGAGAAAGGGTTTCACCATGTTGGCCAGGCTGATCTCGAACTCCTGACCTCAGGTAATCAACCTGCCTTGGCCTCCCAAAGTAAACAAGACTTTAAGAATAAGTTGCAGGAGCAAGAAGGGGCAGAGGGAGGCATTGGAAAGCAGGACTATGAGGAAACTTTATTGGGTGATGAATTTACTCTTGATTTTAGTAAAGGTTCACAGGTCTATAGATATGTCAAAACTTAATAAGTTGTACACTTTAAATATATGCAGTTTATTGTATGCCAATTATACGTCAATACAACAATTTTAAAAAATAATAAATTTCTGAGGCCTGAAAAGCAAAACAATAGTATAAGAATACTGTCTCCGAACAGTCCCAGAAAAAGACTTGAGATACTACATAATACAAGGAAAGGTTTGAGGATATAACCAAGTGACTGATTCACAATTCCCTTCAGAAAAATGGCACAGGATCGCAGAAATTAGGTGGCAAAAATACTAATATGCCCAAATTGAGAACACAAGAATCTGCTATGCCTAGAGCCCCTGTCACTAATTCAGTGCAATAGCATGTGCTGAGGCGGGGCTGGAAGAGAAATCACAGTCATAGCAGACAGACACCCAATCCCAGAGGTCATAAACTGACCATCACATTGGGCATCACTGACATGTTTGGTTTGGTCCTCACTGTTGGAAAAATAATCTTTTTTAATTAGTTGCCAACATTTAAAAATTCAGAGATCTCTCCACCCAAATCTGAATGCTTAACCTTTCTCAAAATATCAAAAGATCTGGTAACACTTGGACCCCTATTTCCAACCTAGCAATAGGCCAGGCACTCTGGTCAGCCACAGACTTCTGGACTCAGTATTCCTATTGCTCTGTCCCTGGAAGCTTGACCCATTTATTGTAATGTTTCAACACTATCTCAGTGCTCATTCCCTACATGAAAGTGAACTACACTTAATTAGAGGTGTAACTCCCACTCCAAAAGGTAAGGAACTTTCCTACCTAAGCAAGCAGTGGCAGCCAACAGAAGGCTAGACTTAAGCACACCTTTTTAGAGAAAGGTCAATAATGAAAACAAATCCTGAAAACCAGTTCTTGGGGCATTAGTTTACAACTTCAGTGGAGAAACTTGTGACAGAATTTCCCTACTGAAGATCCTTCTCAGCCCCAGCCCCCTCACCCTTCAAACACAAATGCATACACAGTCCCAGCTCCTTCCTTAGCCTTCCCCTCCCACATTCTGCCAGGTAATGGAATGGTAACAGGAATTTTTATCATCTTGCCTTCAGCTTAAGATGAAGAAAAATTTCTTTAAAAAAAAAAAAACTGGTGAAAAGGCAAAGTTCCCAAGGAATAATCACACAAATTATTACAGGTCAAAAGGGGTCAGAAACCTATACTAATTCAATAAATAATCAATATTTTATTTAATCATTTTATAACAAAAGCATAAATATTAAATCACGCTCAAGGTAAGATTTCTTATTATCACTTAACATTTTTCTAGTCAATGCATAAAATAATAGAGAGAACTATCACAAAGAAGTCAATTTAAAAAACAATAAAAAAAAAAACCTCTTAGTTTGTGGATGACCTCATTCCAAGAGAAACCACTGAAAACCCATGAAAACAAATAGGGAAATTCAATAAGGTGACTGAATGGTTACAAAATTAATATACAAAATTACAGTTGTTTCACGTCAGCAATAATCATAGAAAAAAACAAGATGAATAAAAATTGAAACATTATAGCAAACAAAACTATAAAATATACCCCGGAACAAAACCAATGAGAGGTGCTAGCACAGTCACATTATCCTGGAGAGGGAGACTTCCTGAGGGGTGATCAACTGTCTAGTTGCTACTTAGAGAGTGGGACTGGACTACCACAAAAGATTGACCCTACTCTCTGAACTGTGCATAAGCCGCTCTGTCAAAGTTCAGCCTGCACATGACCCAAGAGGAAATCATGGCTTGTTTCCCCAGTGACACTCTGGACCTGATCAAAACCTACGGCTCCCGGGTCCAGTTCTGAATCATAGGAAATCCAACCGAAACTGTTCATTCCTCAGAGTGTATACAGGAAACAGATCCAACCAGCAGAGAATCAGGATTCATCACTTTTCAGGAACCGGGTAAAATGTTAAGTAGAGAAAATTTACCTATTCTCTAAGGAAGGGATTTCAAGGAACTCTTTAAAAAGCTTTTGACAGAGGCCAAGCGTGGTGGCTCATGCTTGTAATCCCAGCTCTTTGGGAGGCTGAGGCAGGGTGGCTTGAGGTCAGGAGTTCGAGACCAACCTGGCCAACATGGCCAAACCTTGTCTCTACTAAAAATACAAAAATTAGGCAGGCATGGTGGTGGACACCTAAAATCCCAGCTACTACTTGGGAGGCTGAGGCATGAGAATTGCTTGAATCAGGAGGCAGAGACTGCAGTGAGCCAAGATTGTGCCACTGCACTCCAGCCTGGGTAACAGAGCAAGACTCTGTCTCAAAACAAAACACAACAAAAAAACAGTTTTTGACAGAGAACTAACTGTAAGTGTGGAAATAAGTACATAGGCCTTTTACATTATTATTACTGAACCGAACCAAGAGAAAAAAAATACTTTGGGCCAGGTGTGATGGTTCACGCTTGTAATCCCAGCACTTTGGGAGATGGAGGTGGGCAGATCACTTGCGGTCAGGAGTGATCACTTGCGGTCAGGAGTGATCACTTGAAACCAGAAAGGCCAACATGGTGAAACCCCGTCTCTACTCAAAATACAAAAATTAGCCCCGTACAGTGGCATGCACCTATAGTCCCAGCTACTCGGGAGGCTGAGGCACAAGAATCGCTTGAACCCAGGAAGTGGTGATTGCAGTGAGCCAAGATTGTGCCACCATACTCCAGAACAGAACAAGAACCCATCTCAAAAAAACAAAAAAAAATTTGGGGGCTGGGCGTGGTGGCTCACACCTATAATCCCAGGACTTTGGGAGGCTGAGGTGGGCAGATCACTCAAGGCCAGGAGTTCAAGACCACCCTGGCCAACATGGCGAAACTCCATCTCTACTAAAAATACAAAAAATTTAGCCAGGTGTGGTGGTGCACATCTGTAGTCCCAGCTACTAGGGAGGCTGAGGCACAAGAATCACTTGAACTCGAAAGGCACAGATTGCGGTGAGCCAAGATCATACCATTGCACTCCAGCCTGGGGGACAGAGTGAGACTCTGTCATAAAAAAGAAAAAATATTTTGAAATATGTTTATATTAATAGGAAATTTCCAATTAATACAGTCCTCAATATTTCAGAATTTGTGATTGTTTATGGTTTGGTTTCAAGATTATCTTTTTACTCTCTAGACGAAAGTAGTTTCCTAAGAATATTAACTTAGGATTGATGATTTGAAGCACCACAGAAACATCTGTTTATATTCAGATAATTAATATGCTAATTTCTATCTATTAAATTAAGCAGGTTACCTAAGGACTTTTCAAAATAATACTTCATTAGCCTGATAATAATGAATATATATAGTTGAAATAAGAAAATGGACATCTGTTGTAAGACATCCTTCAATTTAAGCCTTTTACTAAATCAAACCAGTTTTCATACCTTAATTTCAATTATGGAGGTACATGTCAACAAACCAAAACAATACAAAACAAAAAATCCTCTTTTGAGATAGAAAACAAACATTTCCATTCTTACCTTTGATGGTCTCCATTCCCAACTATCACCTATCTGTTGTGAATGTTTAATGAATTCTGCACAATAATGTTGGAATGTTTTTTCTCCAATGAACTCATCTTCTTCCATGTTAAATGACAACTGTAATATAAAAACTAAGTATTAGCATCAACTTTAGAATAATATTGAAAGGAATTCTGCTAATTGATTTATTTCTGTCAATAAACCAAAATTTGGGATGTAGAATGGCCTCAAGGCCACTGAAAAATAGTTTTGGTCAGGCGTGGTGGCTCACACCTGTAATCCCAGCAATTTGGGAGGCCAAAGCAGGAAGACAGCTTGAACTGAGGAGTTCGAGACTAACCTGGTCAACATAGCAAGACTCTGTCTATATACAAACTAAAAAACAGCCAGGCATAGTGGTGTGCACTTGTAGTCTCATCTACTCTAGAGGCTGAGGCAGGAGGATCACTTGAGACCAAGCGTTCAAGACTGCAGTTAGCTATGATCATGCCACTCTACTCCAGCCTGGGTGAGAGAATGAGACCCCATCTCAAAAAAAATAAAAAAGTGTTTTTGTTTTTTCTATCTTTCTCACCTTATCCCCATTTTTTTGTTGTTGTTTTTATTTTTGTTGTTGTTTTTATTTTTGTTGTTGTTGTTATTGTTGTTTTTGAGATGAAGACTCGCTCCATCATCCAAGCTGGAGTGCAATGGCATGATGCCGGCTCACTGCAACCTCCGCTTCCCAGGTTCAAGTGATTCTCCCACCTCAGCCTCTCGAGTAGCTGGGATCACAGTTGCATGCCACCACGCTGGCTAATTTTTGTATTCTTAGTAAAGACAGGGATTCACCATGTTGGCCAGGCTGGTCTTAAACTCCTGACCTCAAGCGATCCACCAGCCTCAGCTTCCCAGAGTGCTGAGATTATAGGCATGAGCCACAATGCCCAGCTTTTTCTGTTTTTATATTCCTGTTTCTGTATCTTTGGTGCTTAGCATAGTAAACACTCTAGATGCTTTTGTTCAATTGAATTAAAATCATATAAACTGCAAGGATTTTAAACCCCTGTTTGGCTCCAAGGTCAATGATCTGTCTATACTAGCTAATCCCTAAACCAGTGTCATTTCTGATTATTCAAATTTAGTATAATCTATGTAAGTTTGTTCATTCATCCAACAAATACATAGTGAATATCTATTAAGTAGCAGGCACTGTGCGTAAGTAAAAGTTAGGTATACAAAAATGAAAAAATATATAGTCCTTGCCTTGTAAGAGCTCATATTCTAACAAAGGGAGATAAGAAATACAAATAATTACAGTAGGAACTCTCTTATCCAACCTCCATCTAACGAACTTGCCAGATTAATCGACACTGACTCATGTCTACAGCATGCTGATCATGAAGCACCTCTGCTCCCATCAGTTAACTGTGTGTTCACAAACCTTATTCTCCTATCATAAATATATACTGTAATTAAATGTTAAACAAACCAGAACATAAGAGTAAAAAAGAGGGCAGGGCGTGGTGGCTCACCCAGCACTTTGGGAGGCCGAGGCGGGCAGATTATGAGGTCAGGAGATCAAGACCATCCTGGCTAACACGATGAAACCCCGTCTCTACTAAAAATACAAAAAATTAGCCGCGCGTGGGCGTTCCAGGGTTTTCACACCATTTCTTCCTGCCCTCAAGTCCCGAGGTAGCTGGGACTAAGGCTACCCGCAACACCACCCGCGTCCCCCCCGCCACCGCACTGGCCGTGACGCTGTCGCCGGCTTAGTTTTTTGTAATTTATTTTTAGTAAAGAGACCGGGGTTCACCCGATGTTAGCCGGATGGTCCTCATTGCCCCCCTACCCTCCGTGGTGGATGCAGCCCCGTCCTCCGACCTCCCCAAAGTGGCTGGTAAAGCTTGAGCACCGCGCCCAGGCCTGCCTGTTGTTTCAGTTTTGTCGTACTAACTGAGAGTATCCTTTTGTTGGAGTTTTTAAAAATAATTAGTAACGTATATAGGTTCTTTATGAACGAAAAGTTTAATTTTCTTTGATTTAGTATCTTTCTAGTATATGTCAGGATCATCATACATTGGGAAAATTTCCTTCTGACTGCCATTCAGTCTCTCTTGCTATTTCCTAGTTTCTGCATTCTCTCTCCTGATTGAGTTAAATGGGTTCCTGTTACCATCTACGTGAATGTTGATATAGAATTGGTATTTCAGCCCCAGATTTCTCTTTTCCTCTTTGAGTCAAGACACACCTCAAAATGCCTGCTGACCCCTTTACTTGGGACATCTCCACAGGCATTTCAAATTCAATACTCATATGGGCAATTAACCCATCTCTCTTCCCCAAATCCTTTCTTCTCCAAGAGACTCTGTTCTTAACTCAATGAACCACCACCTAAAGGCAGAAAGCTTGGAATCTTTTCTCTCCCCCTGTCCCCCACCAATCTTTTTCAGTCCGTATTGTCCATACCTAGTGTCAAATAGCAGTTTATTTTTCTTAGAGAGACTCACTTTTATCAAATCTTTCCAGAGCATTTGGTTTATAGAATATCAGTTGTTCCTTCTTTTTACTTTTTTTTTTTTTTTTGAGACGGAGTCTGGCTAATGTCGTCCAGGCTGGAGTGCGAGTGGCACACTCTCGGCTCACTGCCAAGCTCCGCCTCCCGGTTCATGCCATTCTCCTGCCTCAGCCCTTGAGTAGCTGGACTTGACTACAGG